CCTCTTCTCCTTCCCTCTCCTCCTGCTTCTCTTTCCCCCCCTCCCTTTCCCTCTTCCTTCCCTTTTCCTCTCTTTCTCCTCTTCTCCTTCCTTCACCTCCTGCTTCTCTTCCCTTTCCTCTCTTCTCCTTCTCCCTCCCTCTCCTACTGCTTCTCTTCCCTCTCCTCTCTTTCTCCTCTTCTCCTTCCTTCACCTCCTGCTTCTCTTCCCTTTCCTCTCTTTCTCCTCTTCTCCCTCCCTCTCCTACTGCTTCTCTTCCCTTTCCTCTCTTTCTCCTCTTCTCCTTCCTTCCCCTCCTGCTTCTCTTTTCCCCCCTCCCCTTTCCCCCTTTCCTTCCCTTTTCCTCTCTTTCTCCTCTTCTCCCTCCCTCTCCTCTTCGCCCACGTCAACGACAGACGAATAAACATACTTCACAAGACGCATTTGCACAAGCATCTGTTTCAACGCGAAGGAGGTTATTTAAAGGACCTCTCCCACTCGCAATTCAGGAGGAGGTGGAGGAGGTGGAGGAGGAGGAGGTGGAGGTGGTGGGGGAGGTTGTGGTGGATGAGGTGGAGGAGGTGGTGGAGGTGGTGGAGGTGAAGGTGGTGGGGGAGGTGGTGGGAGGAGGAGGAGGTGGAGGTTGAGTTGGAGGTGGTTGGGGAGGAGGTGGAGGTGGAGGGTGGAGGTGGTGGGGGAGGTGGGGTTGGAGGTGTAGGTGGAAGTTGAAGTGGAGGTGGTGGAGGTGGAGGAGGTGGAGGTGAACGTGGGGAGGGGGTGTGGAAGCAAAGAAGGTGGAAATGGAGGTGCAGTAGCTGAGGCGGAGGTGGACGTGGAGGTGGATGAGATATAGACAGTGAGAGAGGGTGGAGGGGGGTAAAATAGGTGGAGGTGGAGGAGTTGGAATAGCGGAGGTAAAGTTGAAAGTGGATGAAGTGGAGGTGGAGGGGGAGGTGAAAGTGGAGGAGGTGGAGACGAAGATGGAAAAGGTAATAGAAGTGGAATAGTAGTGGTAGTTATAGTGGAGGTGGAAGCGAAAGGTGGACACAGAGGAAAAGGAGGTATAAGTGTGTGAGAGGGTAGAGAAAGGGAAGGAGGAAGATAAAGAAAGGAAGAACGAGAAGGCCAAGAGGGGGAAGAAGAGGGGGAAGAAGAGGTTGGAGAGGAGGAGGAGAGAGAAAAAAAGAGAGAGAGAGGTCAGGGAAGAGGAGGAATTAAAAAAAAGAAAAGAAAAAAATAGAAGAAGAATAAACGAACGAAAAGGGAGGAGGAGGAAGGGGGAAAATAACAATTAAAATTTCTTTTTCTTTTTTTTTTTCTTTTTTAGGAGAAGAAGGGAAACACAAAAAAATTATTTCAAAATGTAAAAGAAAGAGAAGAATGAGAAAAAAAGTAGAGAGAGACTTGAAGGAAGGAGAAACAAAGAAATAAAAGAAAAGCGGAAAAAGAGACGAGAGAAGAGATGGAGGAGAATGCGGATAACGAAGCAGGAAAAGAAAATTCGCTAACGATAGAGAAAGTCTGGAATAAGAGGAGGAAGGAGAGAAGGAGGAATTGGGCAAAACTTTGAAGAAAAATAAACACAAAAAGAAAGTCTAGAGATTTTAGCGAACGTCCGTAAAACATGAAAGAAGAGAAGAGAGGAGAAAAAAAATGAATATAAAAAAGAAGAAACAGACTAAGAATAAAGAATAGAAGTCATAGATAGTTGTCAGCAGTGGTTCTTATTTTACTACCTTTTAATACCTAGTCCTTCCCCCCCCCCCCACGCCCCCCCTGGCGGCTATGATAAAGTACCCTCCCAGGCTTTAATGAAAAATCAAAATATGTTCGTAGACTTTTTATTAAGTATCAATTACTCACATTATTATTAAAAATCTTATTGTTTGACCATGCTCTCTTTAAGGGAATAGCATATAATTAGAGAAATTCCAACTTTTTCCTCGGTAATTATTGACGCCATCTAGGGGAGCGACCCCCAGGTTAAGAACCACAACATACGGAAAAAAATAAAGATGAAAAGGAGAAGGAAAGGACGAAAACAACGAAAGGGAGACAGGTAAAAAGGAGAAAGGAGAAAACTTCTGTAAGTAGAAGGAAGAAACCTTTTATAACAAATATAAAAAAAGGAACAGAGAGAGAGAAGAGGAGAAGAGAACAAGGAAGAAGAAACATGAAATCCTTTAGCGCTGCCAAGGGCCTCCACGCGATCTGAAACGCCGATATCTGCCAGGACAAGTGAAGAGATTTTTTTTTTTTTTTTTTTTTTTTTAGGGGGGGGGGTCTTGCTCCTCCTTTTGTATTTCTTTGTTTTTCTTTTCTTTCTTTTTTATGTTCTTGCTCCTCCTTTTGTATTTCGTTGTCTGTTCTTTTCTTTCTTTTCTTTTATATTTTTTTGCTGCTATTTTTCTTCATCTTCCTTTTTTCTATTTTTTTCTGACTTAAAAGCCAACCGTCTTCCTTTTTCCTTTTTTCTTATTAATATCCATTTTGAAAAAAAAAAAAAAAAATCCTGCTTTTT